TCTAATTTTTCGAGTTTCAACTGTATATATACACATATATATATATATATATATATATATATATATATATACATAATATAATATAATCATAAATAAAGCATGGGATGCATAACAACAAGAGAGGTAAGTATAAGGCCCTGCACAGAATGAAATGTGGAAATGTGAAAGTACTATTGTCTGCTCTTCCAGTGATGTTTATTGCTCCTAGTGCTGGGGGTATTTTGCAATTCCTCTGCATCTTTCTTATGGTGTTTATTGTAGAAGATACCTGTTAAAGGTTTCAGCTTCACAAAACTCTATTATGGCAGTCAAAATTGTGATCAAATAATTCAATAGGCTCAACATAGCAAGCAACCTTATATAATGTTTGGTGGCAATTAATACTTCTGTAAGTTTATCTGAAGTATCCAATTGCAGGCCTGTAGATTATAGGAGTCAGCCTCTCAAGAAGAAAGCGTTTAATTTATCAAAGTGAACACTCTTGATTAGCCATTTTTGCTTTAGATTCAATTATTCGGCAACCAGAAATGTACTGATAAGGGCATACTTATAAGGTAAATGCCAGTATATAAGTATATAAGTAAAAAATGATGATGACGATATTGATTATTGCTTTTTTTGTGGCTAGATGGTTTCCAACTAATTTCAAGAAACAAGGATATATTGATGAAGAAAGAAAACTATAAACTCCAAATTCTAAATCTTCCGAAGAAAATTATTTGTCCCTGTGGATTTTTTATATCATGAAGTTTAAATAAAAATGGTATAGTCATAACATTATTAATTAAGCTCATCATTTATTTACTACCAGATAAACAAGCAGTAACAGATGTAAAGCACAGTTGTCCAATTTTCATAAAAGGGAAAAGAGACCCTTGGTTTGGAATGAGTTCTCTCAGTCACTGGCAACTCATAGAAGTTTTTTTCTGCAATCTCTATATTTATCATTTTCTGCAAAATATAAAAGAACAGATCTAGTTCTTTCTCTTCTTATGTTTGTAATTAGCTAGAGAGATAAAGTAGTTTTCAAACCAAATGGGTCTGAGTAGCGAGGCAGGGAAGGCAGCACAGACACACCAGGGCGTACCAAGCTAGACTAAGTTATCAGAGACGAGACATAATGAACCACTCTCTTATCTGTTCTTGGCTGGAACATCACTCAATTAAAATATAAACAGTTTGTCCATCTAGGTTATTAACATTGAATTTAAAGTGTATGTACTGTATAGCCGAAACATTTTGTTTTGGATAGAGCAGGTAAAGGTAAAAACACCTGTCAGCTTATTTTTGCTGTCCCACTGGGCAGATTGCTTTTCACTTTTGACCCTAAGACACTACATAAAGTAAGATGAAATCTCTCCAAAGTTAGGGGAATTCCTGTCTTATGCAGTTGTAATTGGAGCAAGTGTTACCATTGGAAGATTTACTCTGACCTCTTGTGCTGGTGACAACACTAAAATTAATTTTTTTCCTCTCACGTACTGCCATGGCAATGGTCATCAGGACAAATAGAAAGGGTGAATCAAGCTCGAAAGACACAAAAAGCAGTAAAAATACAATGTAAAGTAGTGAGTGTACAGCTTGTATATCAGTGTACATTTGCTGTCCCCTCAAAATAACTCAACACACAGCCATTAATGTCTAAACCGCTGGCAACAAAAGTGAGTACACCCCTAAGTGAAAATGTCCAAATTGGGCCCAAAGTGTTAATATTAATTCTCAGCCCAAATTTAACACACCTGCTCCCCATTCACACCTGAGACCTTGTAACACTAACGAGTCACATGACATCGGGGAAGGAAAATGGCCAATTTGGACATTTTCACTTAGGGGTGTACTCACTTTTGTTGCCAGCGGTTTAGACATTAATGGCTGTGTGTTGAGTTATTTTGAGGGGACAGCAAATGTACACTGATATACAAGCTGTACACTCACTACTTTACATTGTAGCAAAGTGTCATTCCTTCTGTGTCGTCATATGAAATGATATCATAAAATATTTACAAAAATGTGAGGGATGTACTCACTTCTGTAAGATACTGTATATGGTTCTGTCCCTGCTACACATTACCCTGTGGCCTGTGCATAGCTAGACAATAGACATGCAGCTAAACCCTCCTATTCTGCAATAAGCCAGACTGGATGAAATCTTGAAGCTTTATTAACAAAACAGGGTGGGTGATGCTGGTAAACAAGAACATGAAAACATATAATCAATATGTGAACATGTAAATAGAGTAATAGCTCACAAAAATAAGGAGAAACAAGTTAATTCCTACCAGCGATGCTACCGTATGGGGAATCTGGGCATTTATTCCAGACATGCACTCAGGATGACAGCAGATTATTTTCTCCTTGGTTCCAAGATGAAGGCTGAATTCCCAGAACACACTTGTTCCTTTCTTCTTGGGCTGAGAACTTACCATAGGAAAACAGTCTGCTTTGCTGTAAATAGAGATGTTTTCTATTTAGCACCATCTTGTGGCTGATTTTGAGATGGCAGGTAAGTAAGTCTTTAAATTCCATGCCTTTGTGGCAGAACATATATATATATTTAATTAATTTAATACAGGTATTTATATAGTGCCGACAATTTTATGCAGAGCTTTACACACTCACATCAGTCCCTGCCTTTAAGGAGCTTACAATCTAAGGTCCCTATCCCTCATGCATACATATGAGGGCCAATTTAGACAGGAGCCAATTAACCTTCCAGCATGTCTTTGTAGTGTGAGAGGAAACCGGAGTACCCGGAGGAATCCCACACAAGCACAGTGAAAACATGCAAACTCCTGGTCCGCTGGCACATATCCAAAACCAAAGATATTGTTCCTATTGTGGTGCTTATTTTATAGCTTGTAGAAAATGTTCTATTTTTCAGACTATGCACGCATTCTAGATCTAGCACAACTACGGTAGCTAACACTGTACACGACATATTCTTATTATCATAAAAGCCTAACTCTAGCCAATTTTTTTAAATTCTGGTCAGATATGTATTTCTGTCTGACCATATTAAATACATTTTCACTTCTTCCCCTTCAAAAAAGGTATGAGATGTACCGATTGCTCTGCTTTGAATTGCATAAAAATCCCTGAAAAACTAAAAACAAATGCAGCACACTCCTGAGTGCTCCTTTAGGAGCATGTGGGGGACTTCAGAGGCAAAGTGGGCTAACATGTCACCTCAGGGATGAGTCTATAGGCGATTGTGGGATGCAAATGTCAAGTTAGGTGCCAGTCACTTGGTTTTATACCATAAGCCACTTAGTGGGAGAGAGGATAGAGGCCAGAGATATCTAGAACAGCAGAGAACTCCAGACTTACTGACTGCATCCCAGTTTTACAGTGCAGAGGATCTTTAAATTGATTGCAGTAACACTGTGTATTGTAGAACCTTTGCTGGTCAGCAGAGAAAGCAGAGAATTCCCAGGCACCAGGCTTTCTGTGAGCTCCAGGCCCATTCTGCCTTCTCTGGTATCTCCAGCAGAGGAAGCACCTCCCTGGTTCTCCATCCCAGGAACAGATTCATATCCTGACTGGATCCATACCTGACCACCTGCAGACTGCAGGCCTGGTCAGACAGCACATCACTTTACACACCCTCACTCAGGTAAGAGACCCTGGAATTGGAGTTACTCTCACAAGTTCAGACCCGAATATGTATGTCCTCCCCCAGCATGCACCACTTGCCATGAACCTTCTAGCGATTGCCTAGGGAGGCTGCCTATTTATAACACCCCCAAAAAAAAAACAAGCAGGCAAGCAGTGTATGTACCTGGTCTGATATCAGCTTTTTGCAGTCCACTCCCTTTACAGCTGGGCTGAAGTGTGAGAGGACAAAGCAGGACAAGGACAAAATGGGTTCATGTGAGGACAAGGAACATATACTAGAGGGGAAAAAGCAGAGGGACAGAGATGTTCTTCTTTAAGTTTTAAATGGATAAAAGTCTATTACATAAATCACCCCTAAATAGAAATATTACTTTGCAGATGTGTATGCATAGTATATATGTACAGTGTAGATAATAGGCCGCATGCCATTTGCACTGGAGGGTGCTTTTTCAGGGTCGCTCCTGGAAAAGCACCTTGACCCCGTGCCAATGGGGACAAGAGCCCCTTCCCCACAAGCCCTGGGAGTTGGTTGTGGGGGTGTGGGCAGGGGGCTTATTCACATCAGGGTACCCCTTTAATAAATTAGCACCCAGAGGTGGCCCCCCTCCTTGTGAATGAGTAAGGGGTACTTGTACCCCTACCCATTCACGAAAGGGTTAAATGCACATTTTAAACAAAGAGGCCAGACTTTTGTAAAAATGCTTTACCTGTAAAAAAAAAAAAAAAAAAGACATTTTTGACACATCTTTCAGTTAAAAAAAAAATGGATCTGCCGACGTAATCCAGCATAAATCACGATGTCAAGTGTTGTCCATGATGACGACGACTCAACAAAATAAGAAATAAAACAAAAAAATAAATAGAAATAATATTTTTTTTTTTTTTTAAATGACGCCCGACGACCCCTCTGCTCGCCGACGAACTCCGGCTGCAGAATGGCATTCTGACAGATGCCGGCAAAATATAAACAGGTGGGCAGAGCTAGCGGTGACAGCTAGCTAGCTCCGCCCAACTGTTTACAGTTGTACGGCATCTGACAAGTGAGCCATGATTGGGCAAAGTCATCATGACTTTGCCCAATCATGGCTCTTGCAGAGTACTGGGCCCTGATTGAGCAAAGTCTGTGCTTTAGCCAATTTAGCCAGGGCTCACAAAGCAGTGCCGTGTGGGGTGCTCAGCGGGCCAACAGCCCGCTGAACATCCTGACAGTTCGTGTGTTCGCCGAACACCTGAACTGCCGATGTTCCAGTCGAACTCTTGCTCGACTCGAACACCGAGCCCATCCCTAATTGCCAATGCCTCCCTTATCATGTGTAATGTTATTTTAACAGTAATAACATTTGACAAATGATTTGTACAAATGATGTTTAGACAGATTGCTATGAAAGCAATCAATAAGCTACAGTGTTAGAAAAACCAAAATCTCAGTGATGAATGGGTTGTTGTTAATACGTGCAGGCTATCTTACACCAACACAGAGCACTTACACTGCTGCCTATTCCAATCAATTTACAAAAAACTAATTTAAAATTACATTCTGTTATGTGCTTTATATCATATAATTACTGAAATGAATGGAGTGCAATGCAAAATATACATCAAGGCAAAATATACAGCCAAAAAAAAAGAGCTAAACAAATCTCTCTCTATGAAATAAGCAGAATTTCTGAACACATAATAATTTAAATCTAACATTGTAATGCTGTTGACATGTATTTGTGAAAATTTCTTGTTGCAATTGTTTTTATTAACCAAGACTTAGACATTTCAGTTAAAATTTGCTGGCATATAGTATATTTTGGGCTGCACCAATAAGAAATGTAAAGATAAGCCAGTAATATTTACAGATATGGAGTAATGAGCAATGCCTCACCAGAAATAAAGCAGCTCCTGCCCCCCACATGTGGCAGCAAGGGTCAGACTGGCCCACCCGAAGGCTCAGATTTTACATTCCGCAGGAAGTGACATCATTCCAGCCAAACATGTTACCTGGTTATATTGTTGAATATATTTCTTTGAGATCATAGGTATATTTTTTGCTAATTGTGTTTCACACAATCGCACTATTTTTTTGTGGTTATGATTTTACTAGCATTTGAGGTACCAAATCAATTTTGCGTGATAGGGCAACTTATTATGGTAAACGAG